GGGCATGGTTGTACGAAACGTTGGCGGATATTGGCTGACATAGCCGGGCACGATACATTTCCATTGCTCCACACTCAACACCGGGCCATGGAAGTGAGGGGGCAGTGTAGCAAACGAAGCATCATTGACGTTGAGACCTACATATAACCGAAATGATCGTTATCAATCCTGTAGCATATAGAGGAGTGGAATACACCTGCGGATGCTCTTCCTACGAATTGATCACCACCCGAGCCAACGAAAACGTATCGACCCTGGACTCCACCCAGGCTCCATCCAGCGCGGAGCCAAACCGACACTGCCTGAGGACCGCCAGGCGTATTGTTCAGAGCAGTGGCCACACCTTTGCGCAGAGAATGCGTTCCAATCTCTGTGATGTTGAGCCCCATGGACAATATTGTGTCCTTGGATGCGGAACAAGTCGCCGAGAGCCACTTTGCAAAGCGTTCTTTCGCATTGTGGCCAAACAACAGGACGGGGCCGTTCTCTTGCCGGACACCTCGTGTGAAAACCAAAATCGCCAAACTACACCAAACACTGTTGATACTGGTCGTTTTTGAGTCGCCCAAATCGAATCACCAAGCAGTCACCTAAACGAGGTTAAGGTCTTGACAAAAGAGGAGGTACTTACCTTCCCAAACAATGTGATTTAACATGATCGATGCTACCGAGACAGACCGACTCATCGTGTTCCAACAAAAGACGAGAAAGCAATGAACAGATATGTTCAAGCCATGATCGTGTCCCATTTCCATAGCACATTGTGCCAGAAACTTGAACGCTATGTCACATGACAATTTTTTTATGGTAATCAGTGACCGTCAATCCAAGTACAGCTTACCATCGAGCGTTAGCGGAACTTTACCTTCGGAGATCGGGTGGTCTCCGTTTTGATTGAGTGAAGCAATCTGGCGCTTGTATCCATTGGCAAAATCTACTTGTAGTTAGCGTTGCAGCACAAAGGACAACGATTACGTCACATACCCTGTAGCATGGACAGTAGCTCGTCGCTGAGGACGCGCCCTTCTTCTTTGTAGAGATGCTTGATTGCGTTTGAAAATCCATTGATGGTGGAGTACGAATTGTGCTTGCGAGGAGTTATATCGCGTCCTTTGGAGTCGCGTTTGATGGATATGTATGCAAGGAACCTTTGGCGCACAGCCTTTGTCACAGGGAGGGCCACATTGCCTTCGATGAGTGATTCGGGGGAATAATGTTCGAGCCAACGGGAAAACCTCGCTAGAATTGACCTGTACCGCTGGCGAGTAGACGGAACGATAAGCAACGCAATTATATCATCACCAGCTTGTTGTCGATCAGCGCAACTCGCTCCAATTGTTGGATCCATCGCCGTTTGGTACCGCTCTGAAGCGATGTGAGCACTCGAAACAGCAATCCGGATAGTGTACATTCTGCAAGTTCTCAAAGGCGATGTGTCAGATGATATATTGCTTTTGTGCAAGTATAACTTGCGCAATCCTGATGATTATGCGGATTTTACTTGCGCAAAGAACAACTATTTTGGAATATAATATCTCTTTTTATAATTGTCATATGTTATTTGATGTTGCAGGACTTCAGGCTCCAAACCTGCAGGACAGTGTAGTTTACCGGCAGCCCTTGCGAGCGTGAAGGATGAAGTAGTGCTTGTACTACGTAGTAATCATTAACGCTTTACCTATTCGAGCATGACCACTTGGTTACTGCGTTAGTACTAGTAAGGACTTGCGGTTGTCGTTGATGTGCAGTCTCTAGTTACGCTGTACCTATCCTATCATCGTTATTTTAATTACGTGAAGCAAGCTTGAAATTTGTATCCAGCAATTGTATTAATTCCTCATATATTTCTGTGTCCGAATCGTTTCATGCCCGAGTCGTTATGGTATGGGTGAATATGATCACTTTGCGGACATACTTGTGCATTGTATCCG